CACCCGGGTAAAATTCAAAATTTTCTACCAACTGAAAATATTAGGTGTGTCCCGCGCGCTCATATGACCTTATGCAGTTGCGAGCACCTCTAAAAGGTAAAAAAAAAAATTAGAAACCAAAACTTTGGGGGTACAGCTGATATAAATAGTTCATTATATCTTGGTGAAAATAAGAATTTTATTAAAAGCATTTTTTTTAAGGTGTTATACAAATTATAGTTGTAGATTGGTTCTACTCACTGTTCCTTTAACATTTGCTTTACTTTCATGGTCTCGTTTTTTATATAATAGATAGGGCATGGCATCTTGGTATTATTTTCTTTTTGTCACAGCCTTCATGGTTTGAAATTGCCCGGCCTCAAATTCATGGCTACGATGTCCAGTGTGTGGCTATGCTGGGACGTTACTCGTTTGCCTCTGGTGCTGATGAGAAATTGGTTCGGTTGTTCTCAGCCCCGAAAAACTTCATTAATAACTTTTGTGAGATCTGTGGTCACAGCACAGAAGGGGGGGGGGATTATCGGCTTGGTACTGTGGTTTTGCCTTCTGTTTAATTTTGTTTTCAATATTGTTGGATTTTTTTGTTGGCTTCACCGTGAAATGTGTCCTCCTAACTTACTGAACCTTTGATTTCAACCGTAACCTGAAGGGTATGTCTGGAGGCTCCTGCTTCTTCCCTGTCTTTTCGATCTCGCTGTCTCTGTTGCTCAAAATATTTTAGGCCAACACGAGGTTGGCAGGTAAACTGATGTGGTCTGCTACTTTTACTTTTTTGTCCTCTGTGCTAGTCTTGTCTTTAGCTGCTTCCCAGTGAAATGTAGGTATTGTGCTGATTTCAAACCAACTTATACTAACCTACAGTTTACAATATGTACATGGAAGTTTTTTCATGGATGTGAGGACTTGGTTACTTCTTACATCCATTTTCTTGTGCCTTGGAAATGGTCTATTTCCTTTTTTTGAAAGATATAAACTCCAGTTGAACTAAACTGGCGTCTGTTGTGTGGCAGGTAGGTGCTTTGCTTTCACTTGGAAGAGACCAGAGTTCAACTCCCGAATAGGAAGAACATTTTTTGTGGAGTATCGCGGTCTTTCTGTCCTTCTTCTGAGATGTTGTCTCCCATCTCAGTAGTGTTGGCCCAGACAGGTAGGGTCAGAAGCTGGCTTCCAAATTGTGTTGATAAAAGCGTAAAAACACCTACTTTAAAAAGATATATACAACTGAATTAAACAACTTTGTCCGTACAGGTGACCGACAGATGGGAGCCCCAGGTCACGGGGGGTGGTCACTTTGATTCTGTACTGGACCTGGCCTGGTCTGGTGGTGGCGGGGACTACCTGCTGACCGTCAGTGCTGATCAGACCACGCGACTTCACGCCCCATGGGTCAGGAAAGACAAACAGGTGAGGGATATTTGTGCTGTGCACCGTGTGTATTATCGAGTATCGCTGTATTTCTGCTGGAATTTTGTATCCCTGTCAGCTGGGGTTGCCGTGAGATATGTATGACTTTATGTTGTGGTAGCATTTATCAAAAATAAATTCGCTCGTTAGGTTTCTCTTTCTTCAAAATGTAGAAAGAGCAACTATGTGATCTGAGAACTTGGTACACAGTTGATACAGAAATCTTTGCTATATGTACTGGTTTTGCGTATCACTTCAATATAACGTGAACCTGGTTCGTGTTATCTTTAAATGAAAGAGGATATTATGCGGAAGAGAAGGTTTTTATATAATTAGTTTGACTGCCACAGAATAACCGTTATTACTTCTTTCTTTACTCACGTTTGGGGTGCACCATTAATAGTTCCAATGTGTTCCTTACCTCTGCCCTGTCCTTATCATCTTGTTCGTGTTTTTGCTTTTAAAACGAAGCACTTCATTGACTTGAAGCTGATTTTCATGGCTTTTTATAGAGGCAATGTTCAAAGAGATGAAAACTATTCCCTGAATAATTTAAAGACGTTTCAAATGGATGAAGGCTAATAATGATAATAATACCAATAATTGCATTTATGTAGCGCATAACTACACTCTACATGCTTTACAACTATTTTAGTACCTATTTAGCAGCTAGACACTGTTTAGGTCATTTCTAAGGAAGAGGGCTTGGGTACCATATAATGATATCAGACTGAGTGCATTAACATCTCTAAGGGGGCTCTCGTGGCCTAGAGGTTAAGGTGTTGGCCTCTCATTCAAAGGGTCCCGAGTTCGAATCCGGGTAGCGACCTAAACATTTTCTT